GCCGAGGCCAGGCCCCCCGGGGAGCCAACTTTGCTGGCCGGGGGTGACTTGGGTGGGTTTTAAAGCTCCCCAGGTCCCCCTGCCAGGCTCTGGGGCTGTGACCCACCGCTGTGTGTACAAATCAGTGAGTAACAGCCACTGACCTGCTCCTTCTGGACCAAAGACCAGCCTGGTCACCTGGAATTTCAACCCAGTAAAGTGATTCTTTCCTGATGGAGGTTCTTTTCCTTCTTGAAGAATAGCCGTTAGCAGGGGTCGTCCTGTGGTTCAGCCACTCACCCCACACGACTTACTGCTGCTTCTGCCTGTTCATTGCTGGTGTGGACAGAGTGAGGGAACCCCTGACAGGGGTCACGCAGGGGCGAGGAGCCGCCAGTGAGGGGACACCGCCTGGTGGGCAAAGTGCCAGTGATGCAGCCGAGGGCTGCCTTCGGGGATCGAAGATGAAATGGAAAACAGAGGCCCCCTAGACTCACCAAAATGGGAGCAGCTTGTGATTCCAAGGAGTTCCGCCCGTTCTGGGTTGCGCAGTGCCGTCGGGGGACAGAGTCCCCGCCTGGCCGTAGCCAAGGCCGCCCTCCATGTCTCTTTGCCTGTGAGACAGCAGCTCCTGGGCTGGGGGGTGGCAGGGGGCCCTTGCGGCGGGAATGCCTGGAGGGCGTCAGCCTCCCTGCTGCCCCCGGGCCCCTTTTTCTCTCCCACACACTCGGGCGGAGAGGACTGGCGGTCCAGCCCTGGGGCCCTCGCGTCCCCCGGGGACCCAAGAGACAATTGCTGTGGACCCAGGGCGCTCTGAGCTCCAAAAGAACTGCCAGCACTTTCATTTTTTCCCAACTGAGCTTGACGTCCGTGAGCTGTGGCCTTCCCTGGCTCAGCGTCTGCAACTGGGGTGTTTGTCCTTTTGCTCAGATAGGGTTTCACGGAGACAGGTTTGGTAAAATGTATTTCCGTTCTGATCAAATATATTAAAATATATTTCCATGCTAAATAAGCTGGTGCCTGTTTTGAATTAATCACCATGATGCACAGTAATTAGGTAGATAGGAATCTACAAAGGGGTTTTTCTTTTGGAAAGGAGGCGCTAATTCCATCTAATACCTGAAGATTTCCCCCAGAAATCGGACTTCCATTTTCTAAAACATAAGTCAAGATGATTCTCCCCAAATGCTCTGGACGCTGCTGCAGCAGTTCAGAAAACTTGAGCACGCACAGCTAGAGAATTCACTTACTTCCCCAGAATCCAGGCAGAAGCCAAGGAAAACATAAGTACGTGGGCTTCACAACCAATGCCTTGGCCCTGGAGGCCTGGGGAGATGGCGGTGGCCTCACAGGATGGCAGCCCAGCTTCAAAGGCTTCTCTGCTCACCTCGGGACAGGAACTCCTGAGATATTTTCAGACACTCCTCTGCAGATCTCTCCTCTCTCTCTTTCCGTCTCTCCCTCTCCCCGCCTCCCCGCCCCCCCGCCCCGGGTCCTGCCTGACCCATCTGTATCTGGGGGTCACTGAGGTCGCAGCCCCCCTCTGCTCTCTCTCTGTTCCACCCTCTAAAGATTTTATCACCAATAAAGGAATTCCTTTTCCCGCCTGCTCCAATCACCACCTCCCTCCATCTGGAGAACTGTGACATCACTGCTGTGTACACACCCAGACTCACAGTACCGAGGTGGATAGACTTTAGTGATTCCACCTGACTTTTCTTTGCAAAGTTTACTAGAATAAAACAAGACATATCATTGTTTTGAATAAAAATGGGGAGTTTCTACTTCTTGGTGCAGGGCTCAAAATTAGGCCTTATGTTTCCCAGGGGTCAGTAATCCATCACAGAGTAATCCATCATAGTTTTTCTGTGGACAAACTATTTTTGAAAAACCTTTTCAGATCTTTGCTTAACTAATGAATGCACAAGCCTTAACACCCGCCCATCTGAACCTGTAAAATATCCATAATTCAAACTGCGCTCCTGGACCTGTGGTTTTCAAAGTGTGGTTCCTGGACCAACGCTGTCAGCATCAACTGGGAGCTTACTGGGAATGCAGACTCTGGAGCCCTGCCCCAGATGCACTTATGAGAAACGGGGTGGGGGGGTGGGGGGGTGGAGGGATGGACCCAGCAGCCTGTGCTCCACTGGCCCTCCAAGCGACTCCGATACACTGGGGCCACCGCACCTGTGTCTGCCACTCCAGGTGCAAAGGTCTTGTATGTGACGTTGGGGAGCACGTGTGAAAGGAACCAGAATCAGGGACCATGGCTTGGACCCCTGCAGCCAGGACCTAGTGCAGGGACACCTCTTATTGGGCTTCACTTTAGTGGGCTTCCCAGATAGTGAGCATTTTTTACGAAGTGAAGATTTGTGGCGACCCTGCATAGAGCCATGCAAAAGGTATCATTTTTTTCCAACTGCGTTTGCTCACTCTGTGTCTCTGTGTCACATTTTGGTAATTCTTGCAATATTTCAAACTTTTTTATTATTATATTTATTATGGTGATCTGTGATGAGTGATCTTTGATATTAGTACTGTGACTCGCTGAAGGCTCAGACGAAGTTTAGCATTTTTTAGCAGTAAAGCATTTTAAAATTAAGGTCTGCACATTGTATTTTAGACATAATGCTATTGCACACTTACTGGACTCCAGCACAGTGTATCCATAACTTTTATATGCCTGGGGAAACCAAAAATTTGTGTGACCCACTTTATTGCAGTATTTATTGTGGTGGTCTCAAGCCAAGCCCACAGTATCTCCGAGGTCCGCCTGTGCGGATCTGTAAAGCGGACCGGCGTCCCCACGTCGGAGGAGTAGGAAAAAGCGCCACAAAACAGGTCATTTTGCGAAAGTTCCTGCATAGGATAAAGGACCCTGCATCTCCATGCGCGGGGCCTCCTCGCACCACTAGGGGGCGCGCTGGGCTCGCCGAGGCCCGGCGGCCACAGCCTTCCCTCCCAGGTCCTGTCATTCTCCGTATAAACAAGTTACGTGCAAGTGTTTAGGATATAAATTACGACCATGCCGGCTGCCTCGGAAGGAATGTAAACACAGCACTGTGGTCAGAGCAAACTCTGAGACTGACTTCATAATTTATAGCAGCCCCCAAGTAGCCCCGAATAAAAGAAAAAAAATCCCTATTTAAATGCAAATGTGATAATGGGACACAACAAACGTTTAAATCCCTGCTTAATTTTGGAAAATATAGAAAGGAAGCCTAAAGATTAGGCAGATGGTTAGGACTTTTCAAAACAAGATGTTTTACTGAGACCGTCTTTGGACTGACACTCACTCGGAATACAAAATCCCTGTGTGGGAGACGCCCACCCAGCGGTATCCGTTCCTGGTGACTGAGAGACAGTGCTTGCAGGGAATGAGACTTGAAGGCAAGTTCTGAAAAGCAAAAGCAAGACCTGGAGAACCTCTCTGCTCGCTCTCGGGTCCACAGTTTCCAGCGCTGCCCGTGAGTCTGCGGGGCTGGTCAGCCAGGTGGGGCTGATGCCCATCGGCCTGTTTCCTTTCTTTTTTGTCCAGAGCTTCAGCAGCTCTGCCTGTAGCAGCTGTGATTGGGAAGCCTCAGGAAACCAAGCGAGAAAGGAAAGGGCTCGGAGGGAATCCCGAGGGAAAGCATCACTCCCTTGCGAGGGAGAGGAGGCAGCAGAGTGACTGACAGGGAGACAAGTGGGGGCCGCGGCCGCTGTGCCTGAACCGGAGGGCGGCAGACATCTTGTCCTGCTTCTGTCCTTGATGCTCGGGGACTGCCCACACCCTCCACGGGCTTCCCCCTCTAGACGAGGGGATCTGACGGCCACCCAAGGAGCCGGGCACTGGGCACTGGGCAACTACCCCTTGCTCGGAGCCCGGCCGGGCCGAGGGCAGCCCCGGGTGATGTTCTGCCCCATCACTGCACCCTGTGCTGGTGGCGAAGGGAAATAGAGCAAAGGGCAGAAGTCGCCGTGCGCACAAGAAAGGCAATAAAGGGGGCAGGAAACTTGCTTTCCTCAAGCCTTTATCTTGCCTGGTTTGCTTTTAAGCTCCTTTCACCTTCTGTTTTTTGTTTAGCCAGAAAGAGCGAGGGTGAAGGAAAGAAATAATAGAAAATGTTTCTTCTTTTCTCTCCTGAGAAGACCCACAATCAGAGCCCCGCCTGTGCTGCTCAAGGCGCAGACCCCACACCACGTCAATTACATGACTTAGAAAAAAAAGCCCGCCCAGTATAGAGTTGCACTGCCCGCTGGTGAGGAGACCTGGCGATCGGATGCCCGTGGAGGAAAGAGATCCCCCAGCAACTATTTGTTATATACATTTTATTGAAAAAATTTTACATCAAAATAGTTTGGCAAACTGTAAAAGTATACGTAAGTGCAAATATATCCTCCTTTTAAAATACAAGCAAAGTGTGAGTATACACAAAGGTCATAAACATATCTTTAAACTATGATGGTAGAAAACAACCTTGTAAAAAACGTTGTATTGTCACAATACTGAAGACCACTTTCTTAAACTAGACAAATTGTTGCTAAATACTTCCTTGATAATGTTCTTTGGCACCTGTATCCAAAGGTAGTGTTTGGTAAAACACAGCTCTCCCACTGAGCCAGGCAACAAGATGAGGCTTTCTTGAAATCTTGTGCTCGGCACTGCCTTTTAGAAAAGCACACACATTTTCCATAGACAAAGAAACACACGCACACAGCCCCTCTGCGTGTTTCAGACCCTGATTACTGAAGGCAAGGGAACCCCCCAGAGTTCCCATGCTTGTGTTTTCCGCGTGGTGAGTTCTCACCATCTCGGCCAAGGAGCGAAGTTCTCCCTTCTCTGGGAGCCTGCACGAATTCGGGGCATTACCTTGGGGCTGTCCTTGTGCCAACGGCAGACAAACATCAGTGCAGGATGCCTGCCTGGCCTGGGGACTCTGGGTAAGTGACTGATGTGCTACTTGCAGCCACGCTGCTCTGGGAGTCCACCTCAGCCTCGCCCCAGGGGCGACAGGGCCTGGCCCGGCCCCTCCCTCCGCTCACATGACACAGGGCTTAATGTCCTGGCAGACGCTCTGGTGGTGGTGGTGATGGTAGTAGGGGCCGCCGGCCGAGGGGTGGAAGGGGGAGATGCTGTTGAAGTTGAGCACGAAGTCTTTCCTGTCGCACACCGGCGTGGAGTGGTGCTGGTATCGGGGCAGCCCCACTGCAAGGAGGGAGAAAAGAAAACTTTTCAGAAACGTTTCTTCCGCTGAGGACAGGGCACATAATGTTTGAAAACTTAATTCAACTTTTGACTCCAACGGGGTTGGCCTGTCTTTTTGTCTATTGCGGTAAAGCTGGGAGAGGAAACCCAGCCCCAGAAGCTTCTGAGTTTCAAACTGAAGGCCACAGGACAACTCTGGAATCCCGGTATGGGGTCTCCTTTGGTTTACACGGGGCCGCAGAGCACAGTCCCCGCGAGGCCAGGCTCTCTGTGCCCGGGGGTCTGTTACTCCCGGAGGCTGCGCGGGGCTCCAACAGCCCCTGGCCCCAGGCCCTGCGCCCGGTCCCTGCCCGCAGGGCTCCCGCCGGTGCTGCCGAGGCCCAGCCCCTGCCCCCGAAACACCACGGTCTCCCTCGCTTGTGGTTTCGAGCCCCCCTGCCTCAGCTCCCAACCAACTAGCCGGCTCCGAGGAGCAGGCCCTGCGCGCCAGGGGGGTGACAGAAAACAGTCCCACGGCCAGAGAAGGGCCGAGAACAAACGCGCGCATCTCTGTGGGTCGCGCCTGGAGGGAAGCGGGACCCCCGGAGCAGGACCTGCCCTTGGGTGAGAGCTCTGCTGCGGCCCCTTTGCCGCGGGGGAGCCTTTGGGAGAGCCGGGCCGGCCCGCAGCCTCTCCCCGGGCCTGAGCCAGGCCTCCGGGAGCCGACTTTTGCTTTTGCTTTCTCGGCGCCTCCGGCCCGGGGGTGCAGTTGGCTGGGCTTCCGGCTCGCTGGGCCCCGCGCTTCTCCCGGCCCGGGCCTCTCTCGGGGCTGGGCTGGGCCCTTTTCCCCGAGGCCTTTCTAGTCTCGCGTGCGCGGCGGGGACCGCCCGCCCACGCGGGTGCAGGGCCGGGTTGTTCTGCGCGCGTGAATACCCTACCCGGCGGCCCGCGGCGCCTCGTCCGCCCGCGTCCAGCGCTCGCTGAGCCACCGGGCGGCCCCGCGATCAGCGCCCGGCAACACCGACTGTGGCCAAACGCGCGCCCCGACGTGAGCCGTCGCTGCCGCGCAGGTGCGCTTGCCCCCGCGTTAAAGCACCTCGCGGTGGCGCTTCCCTCATCTCTAGCCGGCGGGCCCGGCGCTTTGATGGGACCGAAGGACCTTGAAACGTTCTCAGGAGGCAGAGAGGCCGAGGGGCCTCCCCGAGCAAGCAGGCCTGGGCCGCCCGGGCGTCGTGCTGGGAGCGCGCGCTCGGGGCACCTCCTCGGCCTCCCGGCTCCTCGAGGGGCCCTGGGCTCTCGGTCGGCAGCGGCCCGGCCTGGGAGACGCCAGCTAGCCCCGCGGGG